TCATCCTACAGGGTTCTAGGATAAACTAGGATTGTAGGCAAGGTAATGATAGAGAATGGATATTCTTTTCTCTCATCCTTGGTCCCTCTGTATGTTGAGAGGGAGCCTGACTGTGGATTTACTTCCAGGCTGAGTATGAACATAAGGTTTTGTGGCTGTTTGGAACAAGTTCCTGACACCTTGTCCCCTTCCCAAAGTCATTCTGCACCTCTGGCCTGCTCCTTGGATGTAAAAAGGAGATAGTGTAATTTTCCAGTCCCAGTAGGGACTGGGGGTGGGGGGTTGGCTAGAAACAGTTATAGCCTGCACCAGCAGGTTCTAAGGTGCCCTAGGGTAGAAGGTGGAGCACTCTGTAGGTAAAGAGCTGTCCCAGCTCTTTCAAGGTGCCTTTGCCTTCTCTTCCATTCCTTTCTCATGAAGACCAGGATTTTCACTGAGGTTTTAGGTGTACCTCTCTATACCAGCTTTTGGGGGTGCTGTCTATCCCCCAAGTAACTGAAATCTGAAGAGGATGGGCCCACCAATCTTAGAATGGACAGCTAGGGAGGCCTTAGTGGAACTGAGTGTCTTATTAAAATCACCCCCTTAACGACCCATCCTGTTCTGCAGGAATGACACCAAGGAGGATGTCTTTGTTCACCAGGTAAGCTAGGTTGGCTTTCTGAGGGGAGGAACCGGCCCTCTCTTTGAAGGCCTTTCCCATAACCCTTAGCTGCAGTCTTTCTCCAGCTCCTCAACGGCCTGCCCACGTGGAAATAGCCACTCTCCCATCTGCCTCAGGTGCTTGTATCAACCATTAGCCCCAGTTGTGTTGGGTTACTGAACAGCTGTCAGTGTGTTTTGCCCTCTGGGCACTACATGCTCTCCACCTACTGGGACCTGTTAACACCACAGGAAGGAATCAGGCAGTTTTCCAAGGGAAAGAACTCAGGTCCGAGAGACTTGGGTGCAGTGGTTCTCAAAGTATGGTCCTCGCACCACCAGCAGCATCACCTGATATCCAAATTCTCAGGCCCCGCCCCAAGCTACCGAATCAGTCAGACCTTGGGGCTGGGCACCGTTTTAACAAGCTCCCAGGTGATTCTGATGCTCTCTAGCTTGAGAACCACTGCTTTGGTGTAAAGAGCTCTCTGGGATTGAGGTAAGAAGCACAGTATGTTTTACCCATTTTGCAATTTAAGACTGTCTCTGCTTTTTGTTTTGCTTTTGATTTCCTCTTTCTTGCCTCCCTTTTTGAAGTCCCTGAGGGATATAGGAGGGAAGGGAGAGAGTATCCTGGGGACAGTGGTAACTTCTCAGTGGATCCCCAGGCTGCTAGTTTGACTTTTCCCCTACTAAATTTTTTCTTTCTTTCTTTCAATGCCAGGTATAGAATCCAGGGCCTTTCACATGCTAAGCATGCATTCTACCACTAAGCTACACCCCAGCCCCTCCCCTACTAAACTTTGACCATCTTTGGCTCTGCCCTCCAGCTCTGGACCCCAAGTAAAATGTTGAATGGAATTGGGTGGTGGACCCAGCAAGGGTGGAACAGACAGACTCTTTTTTGCTGCCCTCACTTTTCTCATGGCCTTTCCCCCAACCAGACAGCTATTAAAAGAAACAACCCCAGGAAGTTTCTGCGCAGCGTTGGAGATGGGGAGACTGTGGAGTTTGATGTCGTGAAAGGAGAGAAGGTTTGGGGGCTGCTGTGGGGTCTAGAGTTGGCCGGGCTTGTGGGGGAGTGTCCTGGAGGTCAGCCCAGGCTTTGACCCTTCTGGGACCAGCTCTGCCTCTGGGAATGGGGCTATGTTCTCACCAGGATGTGTCTTAACACTAAGGATGTTCTAAATAATGTGTCCCTGTCTTCAGTCAGTAGTATCGAGGTGTCTTCTCAGTAGTTCACCAAGCACTTCCATGTCTGTTTTCCATATGGGGCCCATCCCCAGCAGGATGCTTCTGAGTCAGTCCTCTGGAGCAAAAGATGGACAGTAGCTGCCAGCCCTTTCTCCACCCCATGGTCTTTGGGGGGAGGGTGCCATAACAATTATTTCAAAAGGACAAGCTGTTCTTTCCTAGATGAGTACCAACTCACTGTTGCCCTTTGGCAGGGTGGGGGAGCTGGATAAGTATAAGAGGAGCTACAGGAGAGCTGGAGAGGGGACTTGGGCTGGAAGACAGAAGAGACTCCACTGATTCCAGCAAGTTTGCAAATGTTGTGCGTTTGTCATGGGGTGGGGGGTTCTGACGATTCCCCTTCCACATTTCCAGGGTGCAGAAGCTGCCAATGTAACTGGGCCTGGGGGGGTGCCAGTGAAAGGCAGCCGCTATGCCCCCAATCGACGTAGATTCCGCCGATTCATCCCCCGGCCTTGCCCAGCTGCCCCACCACCTATGGTGGCAGAGGCTCCCTCAGGTGGAACAGAACCTGGTAGTGAAGGGGAGCGGGCCGAGGACTCTGGGCAGCGGCCCAGACGACGGCGCCCACCACCTTTCTTCTACCGAAGACGGTTTGTGCGAGGCCCTCGGCCCCCTAATCAGCAGCAGCCTATAGAGGTGAGGGGAAGCTGCAGTAAGGGAGCCATCTACTCAAATTTTAGGCAGAAGTGGGAATTGGTGAGGTTAGAGACTAACAGGGTCCACAAAGGAAGTGGAACCAAGGGCTGGGAAGAGCCAGGGATAATCTGGCCCCTGGACAGCCAGGGTTCCTACAGCCCACCAAGGCCTTTGTATATTCCCAGGGCACTGATGGGGTAGAACCCAAAGAGACAGCTCCGCTAGAGGTGGACCAACAGCAGGGAGATGAGCGGGTGCCTCCACCCAGATTCTGGCCCAGGTACCGAAGGTAAGACTCCTTTTCTGGGGCCCAGTTTCTCTTTGCTGTCTGGTGTTTAGTCTTTGCAAAAGGGGAAGAGTTCCTAAGAAGTGCCTAAAGTTAATGGTTAGAGGTACCCAGAGGGAAGCACGACTTACATGGAGCTGAAAGCCTGGCTTCTGGAGATGGGAATAGGGAAGCTGGGGAAGTCCTGGTGAGAGAAGTGGTCTGCCCTGGGTTCCATAGTCCCTTCATGGCTTCTGCTTCTTTTCCTAGGCCTTTCCGCCCCAGGCCACCTCAGCAGCCTACCACTGAAGGTGGGGATGGTGAGACCAAACCCAGCCAAGGCCCCACTGATGGTTCCCGGCCTGAGCCCCAGCGCCCACGAAACCGCCCCTACTTCCAGCGGCGACGGCAGCAGCCCCCTGGCCCCCGGCAGCCCACAGCCCCAGAGGTGAGGATAGTGGAATTGGGGGTGGAGGGAAATGGCTGGGACCAGCTGTCCCATTTTTGGCCCTTTCCCTTCCCTTCTTTATTACTGTGCCACTCCCCTGTCTCTGTCCTTTCATGTAGATTGCTAGGGCCATCCTTGGTAGGTACTATATCAATCAGCCCCAGCAGAGACAATCAAGCCATGTTAACCCCCTGCAAAACCCCACCCCCACCTCAGTTCTGCTTGGAGCCTTAGCACCAGCCTGTGGGTAGAAATTATTGGGGAAAGGAGGGCAAAAGGGAAAGACAGAAGGCATGAAGCTTCCTGAAGAACAAGAAGCCTAATTGACTACCATTTTCTCTAGACCTCAGCCCCCATCAACAGTGGGGACCCCCCCACCACCATACTGGAGTGATTCCAACTCAAAGGACACCCAGAGCTACCATCTGGTGAGAGGCTGCTCTTTTCAGAGGGCAGGTGGCAAGAAGGCTGGGGAATGGGTCATGATGATAAGTTTATGTTCATGATTTGTCTGTTTCTTTTGTTCTCTTAGGTATCTGCCAGTTTTTTCCAACTGACCTGTACCCTACCCAGCACCCCCTCCCTCCTTTCCCATAACTCATGACATCAGAAGACCGGCTTTTCCCCTTTTCCTTGAGACTCAAGAGGGCTAAAGAAACAGCCTTTTGCATTTTTTTCCCCATTCTTCCCTATCAAGGGTTGAAGGAAGGGCTCCATCCTTAGTGTTCGGAGGCATCAACTTCCTCCCCTAAGTCAGGCTGAGAAGGAACCAGCCAGCTCTTAACCTCCTCCTGGTTGCTTTTCTTTCCCACCCAGTTTATTTTTGTTTCCCTTCAACTCCCTACCTCTGAAGCCATTTTATGAACTGTCATGTGCCACCTGAGCCTCCAGTAAAAACAAAAACAGGCTTTCTTGTTGTCTTGGTCTCTGCCTCTTCTCTGTTCTGGAGAATTTGGATCACAGGTAACTCACTTCAGAACCATGGACGGTGAAGTGTGAGAAGATATAGGCAGTCAGCAGGGCCTACCCTTGACTCTTTGCTCTGGTGTCCCTAGCTGTGCAGCTCTGACAAGTGCCTTCAACACTGAGATTCACTGTTCCTGTCAAACAGGGATGATGCCTCCCTTGCAGTGCCTGGCACTTGCGGCTATTGTTTATTGAACATTTACTATTAAAGCAATAAAAAGTAATGGAAAAGGGCATGAGTGACAACATCTAGAGGATTCTGAGGCCTGGAGGTGAGGCAAGACAGAGGGAGGAAGAGGGGCAGGCAAAGTGGATTGTAGTCCCCGTTTCAGCCATCCTCCAGTGCCTCCATGACAGGACACTCTTCTCCATACAGTGACTTTATAGATGAATCTATATATACATATTTAGTACAACAGCCTTTTGGTTTCTGCTCCCTACCCATTCAAACATATACAAAAATATCCAAAGTCTCCTCCCATCCACTGTTTACAGGCAGTCATTCAAATCCCCTTTTGCCCTTAGTTGGTCAAAAGCCTGTGGGGGCAGCACCCTTCCAGAATAGGAGTGGAGAAAAGAGCTGGGTTCCCCACTTGGCAGGCTTGGGGAACAACTGAGATGAGGCCCCAAGTTTACAGGCAGATGCCTTCTCTCCCTTCTCACCACATGAGGGTACGTACATACTTTGTATTCCCTCTTACTCTGAAAGGCTGAGCCTGGAGGGAGGGAGGAGAGGCTAGATTTGGGGAGGGTGAGTCCTTTGCCCTAGAGGGGTCAAGACAGAGCCCCCTTCACCCAGAGTCTATGTGGCAATAATTCAGTGAAAGTGCCAGGTTGTGGGAGGAGTCTAAGGTGGTGGGAAACTCAACTTCTGGTCTCATGTCCTGCTTTCTGCTTCAGTTTGTTCCACTGAAGAAGCCAGTCTAGAGCCACCTCTTCTCTAGCCCCTCTTCCCTAGAGGGGGTGGATGTATTCTGGAGAGGAGTTTGGGGTGGGAAAGGAGAGGGAAAACAGCCCACCCTGACAGTCACGGCCTAACCACAACACATAAATAATCCAAAAGAGTCACACGAGGGGAATGAAGGGGTGCTTAGACCACCCTTCCCTTCAGCTTCCCAATTCTACCAGGTTGCAGGGTTTTTTCTCTACCCTGGAAGTAATGGGGAAGAGAGGGTTAAAGTGCTGCAGAGGAAAGGAGGGGATCTCAGGGGTGGAGAAAGCTGGTTCTCCCACCCCTGCCTTGCCCCTCAGTCATTCTCATCTGGCCCTAAGTATTCGAGTTCCGTGCTGGGTTTCACCTCCTGCTCTAAAAGAGAGGGTGTCCGACGGAAGGCAGCTGAGATCTGGTCAAACGTCCGGCCTCGGGTTTCAGGCACTTTTAAGAAGGTGAAGATGAAGAAGCCAAGCAGGAGGATCGCAAATAGAAGGAAGACGTAGGGACCCATAGCATCCTGGGATAAGTGGAGAAAGGTGTTGACAGAGTAGGGTGGCGTGGGATGGGAAGGGATAGTTTCAGGCAAGTCAGGAACTAAATACTCCTAATAGGGAGCTGGGACTACTGCAGAAACAGGTGGACAATTCAAGGGGCAATGGAAATGACCAGAAATGAAGGATTACGCTGAAAAATGGATTATCTGAACCCAGACCCATTTCTCTTCCCTTCACCATATTGCACTCAGAGGAGATTCCCAGCCATTTGTGGTATTAATACAAAGTTTAAATCATTTTATTCCTGGTCTAAGTTAAGTTATGCCACTGGTTTGTTCCAAAGACACCTGTGTTACTATCCAATCTAGTTCTGCCCCATTTTCCTTTGATTCTGGTGGAGCAGCTCCACCAAATTGATCCAAAGACCACCACTCTAGGGTTGGGGGTCCCTGACTGGAAAGCAAGTAGGATAGTGATGTGTTGCCCCCTCTATTCTCCAGTGTGGGAGATTGGGGCAGGGATGGGGGACCTACCGCAACATACTGGAAACCCATGCCAACGATGAAGTTGCACGTCCAGTTGGAGAAACCAGCCACTGCCATAGCCGCTGGGCGGGGTCCCTGGCTGAAGAGTTCGGCCACGATGAACCAGGGTATGGGACCAGGGCCAATCTCAAAGAAAGCCACAAAGCCAAAGATGGCCACGATGGAGACATAGTTCATGGCTGGAACCCGCTCCTAGGGACCAGGCAGGGAAGGTAGTGAAGCTGATTTTGGCTTTCTGGATATTTACCTGCATTTGACCTACAGGAGAATTGAAATCTACCCTTCCCAGCAGCTTGTGGGGGGTGTGCCACCCTTCATTAGAACAGGCCCTGAAGCATTTCTGAACACTGACACTATGTTGGCTGCCCCATGCAGATTCAAGGCAGAGGAAACATTTTGGTCTCAATTCCTATGATGATTGATTCCCCATTGGCTCTAAATCTGAGTTCTTAGGAATTATTGTTCCTGAGGCTTGACAGGGGCTCTTTCTCCTGGCTGACAGACTTGTGCTATAGCCAAGCACCCACGGTCCTGGCACACAGCAGCCCCAGGATTGAAGGCATAAATGTTAAGGTGTGATCCTGACTAGCCACAGAACCTTGGGACCATTCCCATGGGTTGGGCTATTGGCCAGTCCCAGCCCCCCAGGCCTCACCAGCAGAAGCAGAGCCACAGTCATTAAGATGGCACAGCCACACATGCCTGACAGGCCCAGGAGATGAAGTGTTCGACGCCCAGCACGCTCCACCAAGAACACCTGTGGGAAGAGTTAGGGTTTGGCAGGGGACCTTCAAGACACAGGAAGTGGGAGCATGTTGACAGGTGGGGATAACCAAGAGTAGGGCCTTCAGAAACCCAGGGATGTGAAGCCTGTGGTGCAGTCCATTCCAGAGGCAAGTAGTTACCGAGACCAAGGTGAAGACAGTATTGACCACACCAGCTCCTATGGTGGCATAGGCTGGCTGCCCCACCCCTGCTGACTCGAAGATGCTGGTCGAATAATAGAAAACCTAGAGGTAAGGGAGAAGAAGAGGTGATGGCAGAGTTGTCCTGTTTTCCACTCCAGCCATACCAAATTGGACCAACCCTGAGTGTTAATGGAGGAAGTTAGTTCCCTTCTCCCCTCCCCAGGTCTGCTGGCTGCTCCATACGTACAGCATTGATGCCTGAGAGCTGCTGGCTCAGCTGCAACACAACTGCAATAACTAGGGGCTGCCGGTGGGTGCGGCTGCCAAGGAGTTGGAGCAGGGACAGTGGCCGCTCTCGCTCCAGTTTCCGCTTCTCATCCTTCAGCTCAGCCAGCGCATCAGACACATCAGCCCAGCCCGTCAGGCGCTTCAGACCTGGCGGGGGGGGGGGGGGGGGGGGGGGGGGGGGGGGGCGCGGGGGGGGAGCGCGGCCGGAGCTGGGGGGGGGGGGGGGGGGGGGGGGTCAGGACTGATGGGGCCTGAGAGGAGGACAGGTACTAGCAAGTTAGGGTGGAGGTATGGGTGGAGGTATGGGTCTCGGCTAGACACAGAGTGTGAGCTCACTCTTTCGCGCGGGCCCCTCCAGGTTTCGGATGATGTAGAGATAGCGGGGACTCTCAGGGCAGAAGGGCAGCAGGACCAGCTGCACAAGGGCAGGAAGTACTGTGATGCCCAGGAGCAGTGGCCATAGAGTAGCAGTGCCCAACATGGACTCCAAGCCTAGCACCTATGGGAGAAGGTAGGGAAGGAAAGCAGGTGACTCATGCCTCCTGATGGACCTTGGAGGTCCACCCTAACCTAACCGCTGCCTAGTCTCCCACCAGGCCAAGCCTAGTTACCTGGGCGATCAGAATGCCAATGACGATGGCCAGTTGGTTGAGTGTCCCCAAGGCACCCCGAAGGTGAGTAGGGGCAATCTCCCCCACGTACATGGGCACCAGCCCTGATGTTAGCCCTGAGCAGAGGGAAGATGAAAGGGCTGAGTACAGCTGCCCACTCCCATTTGGAAACCCAAGTATGGTGAAGGAGAGCTAGATTCATGGCAGGGCTGTGGTGTTCACGGGTACCTGAATAGGCGCCAATGAGGAACCGTCCAAGAATGAGTATCTCATAGGAGGCAGTAGCATTGGCTAGGCCCATGAGGGTGCCCCCCAGCACCGCCAGGACATTGTTGGCCAACATAGCCCTTTTCCTAGTGAGCAAATAAAGAGTGGAGCTGTGAGTATCAGGGACCCATGCTGTGGCTCCCTTCCTAACCCCCACCCTTGCCCTCCAACCCCATACCTGCCCAGCCACTGAGAGATGATGCCAATGAGGAAAGAGGAAATCATGCCGCCCACAGAAAAGATGGCCACGGAGAGAGACCAGAGGGTAGTAAGGGTGCTTGGTGGAATGGAGCCAGGTCCCTCAGGACCCTGTCTCCCCAGCCATGTTTCATTGTAGCTTTGTTCAATCACCTGGAGGGACAGCATAGTAGTGATTCCCTGCAAACCCTTCCTTTTCCATCCCCTCAAGTCTCCCTGTCCTTGATTTGGGCACCTCTACCCTGCTAGCTGCAGGCCCCTCACCTTCTGTGGGGCATTGATGACTCCAATGTTGTAGCCAAACTGCAGGGAGCCAAGAACAGCTGAGAATACAGCAAGGACCAGGGTCCCAGTCACTCGCTGTCGAGGAGGTTCCCCATCCTGGACAGACAGAAGCAGAGAGGGACATGTCATGTGGAATCATGCTTTTTTCCTTTCCCCAGGGGCCTGGGCCCAGCTGGAGCCTGAAGATGCTGGGTTCCATCCAACATGCTGGGTGAGGGAAACTGGGCCATATTAGGAATTGCACAAAGATCTCAATATAAACAGGAGCACAAAGAACCCAGTGGTAACCAGGGCATGTAGGAGAAACTGAATGTTTGAGTCCACAGGCAGAGAAATGTTTGAGGACCTAAGCCTGAATTTCCCTGTGACCTTGGGACAGGCTCAGATTTGTATGACCTTGGGCAAGTCACTTTCCCATTCTGAACCTAAGTTTCCTCTTCTGTGAGCTGGGGGTGATGTTGCTTGCCTTGCTTACCTGTCAGTGAAAGTGTTGTGAAAATCAAAACCGAATGTTTACAGTAACTCTAATAGTGCTAGTTTTATAACCTGACAAGTGCATTATCATCAGCCACTGTTCTCTTCCCTCCTCTCTGGGGGTTTTCTCAGTCAGCTACAGGAGGCCCCCAACAGGCCCAAGAAGGGCAATTCCAAAAAGGACATCCAGGTCATTCCTCAGGGGGTGGCCTTCTATTTCTCTGCCCTGGCCTCCCCTCCCCTTCTAAGCTCCAACCAAGGGCTGGGGGCTGTGCCGGGGTTCTGCCAGGGAGAGCCATGCCCAGGGAAGAGGGAGGGATGGTGGCGTGAGGGGCGGTGGCAGTGGTGGCTGCTCGCTGGCGGCACAGACTGTCTCCGAGCAGAAACCTGAGCTGGGGGAGGGGGGGGGCTGACACTCCCCTCTACCCCTCCACCCACAACGGGCCAAGAGAAAGTTCAGCGTCCTGGAGATCCGCCAGGAGTTGGGGGTGGGGCCCAGGGAGAGCCTCCAGTCCTCGAAACACTGCCTGTGAGCCGGGACAAGAGGACAGCTACTGGGGGCCAGATCCTCCCGGATGTGGAGGCTTTTCCCAAGTTGGATAGAGCGCAGGGCGTCCCAGAATGGGGCGCAACTCCGCAAAGCCGGAAAGCAGACGCACTCTGAACTCGGCATAATCTAGTTGCGGCCTGAGCTCCCGAAATGTGCCCCATACCCACTCTGCCTCTTGGCGAGATTGGAATCTGACAGTCACGGGTTGTCTAGGCTGGGTATAAATAGCCAGCCCCCCACCTCCACCCCCTACGCCTGAGCAGGAACACCCCCCTGCTGACCCCGGTCACGACCCCAGCCCAGGATAAGCTGGACCTGTGCCCCCACCCCGCCCCCGCATGCTGAACCCTACTTCTGAGCCGATCTGTTGGAAGCCCGACGGCATCTTGTCTTAGAATAGCTGGAGGTGCAGGAGCTTCAGAGATGAGAAGCGACTGGGAAGTCTTTGACCCCGGTCCGGCAGGCAGAGGCGCGGGGACCACGGGTATCCTGGAGCAATGTGCGGAAGGCAGTCCTGGTGGGTCCCACAGCCACAAGCGAAGGAGACAGAAAGCAGCGGGGCTCCCTGGTATCTGGCAGAGCCCGGCTGCGGGAAAAGACCTGAGAAGCCCCCGCCACTTCACTCCCGCCCCGCTGCGGGACACGCCCTTCACAACACTCATTGGCCAGGAGCCCGCACACCCCAAAGGCCACGCCCCCTCGCTAAACCTGGGGCTTAGAGTTTGGCTTGAATTAGTGGGGCTGGCGGGGGAAACTACGCCCCTTACCGCCTGCGAGACACGCCCCTCGGGTTCCCGCCAGCTTCTGGCCATAAAGTTTTTTTGAGCAGGGTTTGCCAAACGAAAGGCCCCGCCCACCACGTGTCAGGACTCCGCCCCCACCATCCGAGATACCTAGCGACGGATTTTTTTTTTTTATAGTCTAGCCGCAGGTCAGGCTGCTAGGACGAAAACGTGGGGATGGGCCAGGTGTACTTGCCCCGGGAGGGGAGAACTCCAATAGCATGACACAGAGCGTGCGAGCCCGCGCGCGCGGGGTGTGTGAAGAACAATGCCCCGAAGTAACCCCTAGCGGCGACTATTTTTAGCTCCCACAGTATACTCCGCCAAATGTCAGGTCCCCGGTGTCCCGGCCTGTCCTGGGCGGGGAAGGGCAGGGAGATGGAGCCTTAAAGGGTCCGCGACAAGCTTCCCACGCCGGGATGGCCCTGGGAGCCAGGAATTTCCGTTCTTGTTGGGTCCAGTGGCAAAGCCACCAAGTGATAGAGCACAATGGGTTCCGCGGTCCTTTCTTTTCATGCATCCCTGTTCCATACACTGCCTGTTGGCACCGTCCTCTACACTCATTGCACGTTGGTTCCTCGAGGTGTCCCAAGGGACAGGTGCTCACGCCCATCACGCCGCCAACCCTGAGGTCCCTGAGCCGCCATACATGTGCTGGTCGCGTGGACGACACTCTCTCCAGAGCCTGCTCCGGGTTTGGATCCCCAGCCAAACCCCAGCGAAGAGGGCGCGACCAACAGTCAGCGGGTCTAGGAAGAAAAGACGGACACCTAGAGTTTAGAGAGCGCGCTGCTCAGAAAACCCGCCTCAGAAGCGCGGGGCTGTAGTGCCACCTGGAGGGAAAGTGAGGAGCAGTAGTGTATTGGACCAGGGTAGCCTAACACCGAAGGTCCCTGGGCATTCTACCTGCCTAAGGCTTCAGTTATGTTCAAGCCAAGCTTCTGTGGAGCTCTAGACCCACGTGTGCAGCTATCGTCGTGAAGGGGTAGTTCACACCATCGGCATGTTCAAACCTGATGCTCCGCGTCCTAACTTCCTTATCACCCCTATGTTGGAGATCATGTTTGATCTCCTATACTGTCCAGCATCCCTCCACCCGCTAACATTGGTGTTCTGACCGTTTCTCATTTATCTGATTTTATCTCTGTATTCTGCCACTTTGGAACACCATATCCCTGATTGGTCTTGCTGCTTTTCCTCTTCCTTTGAAAGGATGGCAGCGCGCAATTTTCAAATTGGAAGACTGATGTTGTTGTGGGCGCCTGTAATCCCAGCGACTCTGGAGATTGAGGCAGGTGGCTCTCAATTTCCAATCCAGTCTCAAAATTCAAAAATTAAAAGGGCTGGGGATGGGGCTGGGGATGTGGCTCAAGTGGTAGTGCGCTCGCCTGGCATGCGTGCTGCCCAGGTGCGATCCTCAGCACCACATACAAAGACGTTGTGTCCGCCGAAAACTAAAAAATAAATATTTTAAAAAAAAATTCTCTCTCTCTCTCTCTCTCTCTCTCTCTCTCTCTCTCTCTCTCTCTTAAAAAAAAAGGGGGGGGGGGCTGGGGATGTAGTAGAGTGACAGAGCGCTCCCTGTGTTCAATCTCTAGTACTGCAAAAATGTCTAACCTCACCCCAGTACCCCAAAGTCACTACATTTCTGTTGTTGCCTGTCAAGTTCAAACCCTCCTGCCTTTCTGCTTTCATTTCTGCCTTATCTATTACTCCTGCCTTTAATCCTTTCCTCTGAAGGTCAAGGCCTAACTGCTTCATGTACTGGAATCCATTGTGCTCTTTCACTTGGTGCCTTTGCTACATGAATCACTGCAACCTGGGAAGCCTGAGGTCCTGCATTCATCATTAAAAAACAAACAAACAAACAAAAAAAACTCCCCATCCTCTGTGAAGCTTTCTTGGACATTCCTCCAGAAAGGTGTGTGTTCTTACACATAGTCTGTTATCATTCATTTCCCCTCCTTTCTGTAATTCAGCCGCAAAGGGTAGAAAGTCATCTTGTTTCTCTATATCTCTAATATTCAGCTTTTTTTGTTGTTGTTGAATGAATTAAAAAAAGCCCACAAAGTTTTGTTGAATAAATGCACTAAGGGTCTATTGCATATGGATGGCAACAATCATTTAAAAGCAGAAGGAAGAAAACAGATTGCTGGTAGGAGAGGGACTGACTGATCAGGAAGGTAAAAGGAGAATCAGGGATGCTGGAATGCTACCAAAGGAGAAGGTCAGGGAGAAAGAAAATCAGCAGAGCAAGGTGCCAAGAGTTAAAAAGAAGAGTAGGAAGGGGGCACAGACTGCAGTGCAGTGAGTGGGTGCAGAGCTGGGGTCCAGTGCTCTGGGTTCTGACCTGCCACTTGGGACAAGTTTCATTCCTGATGTTTATCAGGGATGGACCTTTCTAGGTGTTTAAACCCAGAGAATGTGGAATCAGGAAGAGCAAGTCAGAACTGAAATATAAGGAGACAGGATAGTTTAAAGAGTATGGAAAAAGTAATGGAGAAATAGAAGAGGAGCTAAAAGAAGAAAAAGGAGTTGAAGGAAGAAGAGGAAAAAAAATGACAGGGAAGGTGGAAGAGGCTAAATTGATAGAAAAGAGAAACTACATGACAGCAGGGAGCTTTGCTTTGTAGTTTATGTGCATGTTGGTCTTGTATAGTAATCCTTGGCTGGTTTATCTCAGATCCCATTGTAGACTTTTCTAAGCTTCACTATCTTGGAGAGCTAATTCCTGCAGACTTTTGTTTTTCTAAGCCCTTAGGCTAAGGAACTAAGAGGCTGGATGGCAGAAGAAATTCAGGATTGTCCCTAACCCACACCTTCATCTCCCATTTGGCTTCCAGTTTCAGGGAGGAATCCCTGACCACTTAGCTTCAACAACACTACCTTCTCCCCCTTGTCCCTTCCCTGTATTTTGTTTGCATATTTTAGTCTTAGGTGCAGAAGACTGATCTAATAACAGTTCTTGGCAAATCGTCTTCACTGATCTATGTCTTCTTTTTGTTTCATTTTATTTTGGTACTTAGATTGAACCTGGGGCACTTTATCACTGAATTACATTTCCAATGCTTTTAATTTTTTTTTTTTTTAATTTTGAGACAGGGTCTCACTAAATTGCTAAGGCTTACCTGCCTCATGTATTGCTGGGATTACAGATGTGTGTTGGAGCACTGAGTTTTATTTTATTTTTTTTAAATTTAATTTTGGTAACTGCAACTGAACCCAGGGGCACTTAACCATTGACATTGAGCCACATCCCCAGCAATATTTTGCATTTTATTTAGAGACAGGGTCTCACTGAGTTGCTTAGCACCTCACCACTGCTGAGGATGGCTTTGAACTCAGGATCCTCCTGCCTCAGCCTCCTGGGCCACTGGGATTACAGACATGTGCCACCAAGCCCCGTTTGTATGCAGGCATTTTTAATTTCTGTAAATAGTATCTTGTCATATATTTTATTCTGATCTTACTTTTTGTGTGCGTGTGCTAGCAATCAGATCCAGGACCTTGCACATGCTAAATATGTGAGTTATACCCGTGGCCATGGCCTTATTATCTTCAATAAATATTGAGTTTGTAAAATCCACTTGTGGTCTGTGATTATCAAAGCTATTGCATGATACTCCATGGATCAGTCACAACACATTTTACCTACTAACAATCCTATTAATGGGCACCCATATCACCCAACCACAACAAATAATGTGGCACCAGGCAGGTGTCACGTGCTTGTAATCCCAGCAATTTGGGACACACACACACACACACACACACACACACACACACATATATATATATATATATATATATATATATATATATATATATGAATGAATGAATATTTTCAAAAAAGTTCATTATGACTTTTTTAAAATTTTTTTTTTTTTTTTTTTTGGGGTACCAGAATTGAATCCGGGAGCACTTAACCATTGAGTTACATCCCCAGCCCCACTCCCCTTTTGAGACAGGGTCTTACTAAGCTGTTGAGGACCTCACAAAGTTGAGGCTGGCTTTGAACTCATGATCCTCCTGCCTCAGCCTCCCCGGTCACTGGAATTACAGGCATGCACCACTATGCAAGGCTTCCTGTTAGAATTTTTTTGGAAGATGTGTCTATGTCTATGACTATGACTCTGTCTGTATTTATAAATATCTGCAGAAGCAGAAACGCTGAGTCATAGGGTGTTCTCACACCTAATGTGACTATGTGCTGCCAACTTGTTCTTCAGAATGGCTGGTTCAGTGTCTATGCTATCAGCAGTGTAGAAAGCTCCAGGACACTGTAAACTCTCAGACAGCATCACCTAGAAGTAGCCCATTTGAGTATGAATGTGGGCCTAAATTGCCTAAACTGAGCCCCAGATCTGTTTTGTGCCCTTTGTAAAACTACCTAAGTTCTTTGTGCTTTATTTACCTCATCTGTAAAATGAGAAGGAGATAATAATAGTATTTGCATCTTAGGGTTTTAATGAAAGAGAATAATATAATATTCATGTAATGCTTAGAATAAATTGCATTGTTATTTTTTTAAAATATTTTTTAGTTGTAAATGGACACAATACCTTTATTTATTTATCTTTATGTGGTGCTGAGGATGGAACCCAGGGCCTCACCCATGCCAGGCAAGCGCTCTACCACTGAGTCACAACCCCAGCCCTTATTTGATTTTTAAAAAATATTTATTTTTTAGTTGTAGATGGACATGATACCTTTATTTTATTTATTTATTTTGATGTGGTGCTGAGGATTGAACCCAGGGCCTTGCACATGTTAGGCTAGCGCTCCACCGCTGAGCAACAACCCCAGCCCTGTTGTTTT